CAAATCAAATCAAATATAAATTTGAATTTGTATTTGATTTGAATTTCAAATCAAATATTCAAATATCAAATCAAATTACAGAACCCTAATTGTAGTGACCTTTTTAAAAGTGATAGTCTTTTCCTCTATTGTGCAATAGTCATAATAGGCTGGAAGTCATCATGAATTAATTACAAAAGAAAGGGTTAAAAATAAACATTACTTCTATTTCAATTTCATTCTAATTAAAAAGCATAATAAATTATTACAGTTTATTTTATTATATACCTCTTTTTGATAATTATACAAAAAATCTTCTTCCATTAAATATCCTATAACCTTCTTTTATACTAAATGTACTTGTTTATCTTGTTAGAGAGTTGAACGTATAGTAAATGTAGTAAGTTCTTCCTGCAACAACAAAAAAAAAGTAAACATATTAGTATTTTTACTATGTCATATGTTCTATTATATTGACAGATCAGCTATTTCCATATCAACAATCTGAACATTTAGTTATAGCTACAAATTTTCATTATTATGATGACCAAAATTGGTCATCTAAACTCGATTTTTTAATTCTATTAACGATACAATATTTAACTACAAGTGTAACTCATAGTATAGTTACAAGAATAAAACACTTGAGACAAAACTCATGCACTTCTAAACAAAATCAGGGTATAAACTCCATCCAAAGAGCTGTCGTTCCTTAAGACCAATCTATTGCAAATATAAAAAAGAAAATACTACAAGAAATAATATATAACTTGTAATATAGTAAGCATATTTTCAGCCTATTTAATCAAACTCTCAAATACTTCATCACAATTAAGTATACTTGTAAGGTTGAGAATATACTGCTTATATTCTTTGCATTTATCTAGAAAATCTGAATATTATTGTTAATGAAGTAACTAGCGATAAAAGAAGATACTTTAACAATCATAGTAATTATAAATAAAAACAGAGTGTACTGAGAAGAGAGTATTTAACTTACCTTCTATTTTTATATTTATTTCTGTTAGTTTCTATTAACACGTTTCTATAAATTTGAAATGAAAAGTTTTTAATTCGTATTACTTATTTAATAATATTATAAGATTGATATATGGGTTGTGAGCTAGGAAAATGAGGTTCTGGGATATTTTAACCAAAGTTAAATTTTTTACTTTATATTAATGTTGGATACATTAGCTTTAATTAGTTAAATTTTTATAGCA